CGGTTTCATATATTTGTACCCCAGCGTCATTTTCTTGGTCTGTTGCTCTCTTAATCACTCAATCAATCGATCAGTCAATCAGTAATAATATTAAAATGGCTCTGTGTATGTTCTATTTAAATAATGATGTTTTACATTATAAAAAAAAAACGCTTATAAAATGATATGAACAATAAATATAAGGGTGTTTGGTAGTTATTTGAGAATTTAAACGAATAACAACCGTCATAGTAATAATTTAGATGACTCTTTTGATATTTAAAGTTATTATTTATCATAAATGAAGGACAAGTGCTGACAAGGAAACGGAAAAGACAAAAAGCCTATCCAAAATAAAAAACACTATCAAAATGTGGACAACAACAACAACAACAACAATAATAATAATAATAATAATAATAATAATAATAATAATAATGGCAATAAAGCAGTGTAAGAATACAGTTGCCAAGACAACAACGATGCTGGGGATGTGCTACGATGCTGAGAAAGGTGCTGGGAGATTTGCGGAATCACCAGTAATAAATAAACAAATTTGATGAGAACCAAAATGCATTTGATACGTAATATGAACGTGTGGGTCGTGCCCATAATAAGAGGCTCACATAATAAAAGTACCAAAACTACTAGAATCGAGATGACATGAAATGAGTTAGAAATCCGACGAAAGTTTCCGACTGTACAAATCAGGGAAAGGCTGGGATCTTCGATGATACTGCGTAAGGTTCTGGAGCTATTACTGGCGGCGTTCTGCCACTACATATCCAGTTATTACCACCAGACATCTGGTGCAAATATTGGAATGCATGAATAATAATAATAATAATAATAATAATAATAATAATAATAATAATAATAATAATTTTTAAACTAAATTGAAATCTGAGGAATATTATAATTTCATACAGACATCAAAATTACTATATTCAGCAAAATACTGAGTAGAGTGCTGGTGTATTTAGGAGGCTTGCTGTCACTTGATCTGTGAAAACCAGATAAACTGGTGTGGAAACCAATAATAATACGACTAATAATACAAAACATATAAAACGATTATAATGAAGAAAAGAATAGCAATCGTATATCAAGAAAAAGACGAAAAGAAGAAGAAGAAGAAGAAGAAGAAGAAGAAGAAGAAGAAGAAGAAGACAAAGCTTAAAAGGCAGAAGGAATTTTGTACCTAATGAAGAGTTCTTCTGGTGCTTTTTCTTTTGCTGCCGGATTTTCGTTCACTTTCTGTCACGATTCTGCAGTCATCATCTGCACTCATTCGTCCGGTTCCTCTTTTTTTCGTTCGTTCTTTCTCTCGCCTGTAAGCAGCGCCTTAAAAACTCTGCCGTCAGCCATACAACACGACTGATGACGACCCCCACCTCATATTATTATTATTATCATTATTTCCAACAATGAACATCTTTCATTGCCTGAGAAGCAGAATATTCTTCTGCATATTATATTTTTCTTTCTTTCTGTCTTTTGGTATTCTTTTTGTTTTAGTTTTAATTTCGCGGGCCAGTCAAAGAGTTTGACTTGCTCGAAGCAAAGCAGGCAGCTCGCGCGAACGATATCGTTTGTCAGTTCGGCTTGTCCGTCTTGTCTTATTTTGGACAACTACTAATGTGCAATCGTTAAAATTACGATTCCTGTACCACACACGATGAGACAGATAAGAAGTGAAACGAACATGAATGGTAATAACGCGGACGATATTAATAATAGCAGTACTGATGATAGTAGCCGCAATAATAATAATAATAATAATAATAAAGAGAACAAAAGAAAAGAAACGAAAAAAAATGAAAACTGCAGACGACAAGCAAGAGAAAAATGAAAGAAACAACCAAAAAAAAGTCAAAATAAAATAAATTATAATCGGCATAACTTAAAGAGTTATAATGGCGTTCTTGTGAGCTTTTATCAGGTCGACTGATATTCGCTTGAGAGTAAAAGAATATGGTTAGACTGGGTAAGAGTAACAAGGGATGGGCATAGCGAAATAATGGAATTTGGCGTTTCTTTGGTGACGGAGGGAAAAGAGAGAAAATCGAAAAAGGAATAAATAACATAGTCAGAGAAGGAAAAAAAAAAGAAAAAGAAAAAGAGAGAGAAAGATAGGAGAGGAGGAGAGAGAAAAGGTAAAGTGAGCTGGAGGCATGGGATCTCCGTGTGCGTGCGGGCGAGCAGAAGGCACGGCTTGTGGCAAAGAGTGTAACGGCGGGGATGGTTTATTGTGGATAAAAATGAGGACCAAGGCACAGTGGTGGCTTGGTGGTGAGCGAGGGAACTGAGGTGTGGATGCATTGAGTGACGCTTTGGCAAAAGAAAAGAAAGAAAGAAAGAAAGAAAGAAAGAAAGAAAGAAATCGAGTATAAGAGTATGAATAAGTGAAGAGAGCAAATGATAGCCGAGTGCGCGAATAGAAAAATATTTTGTACATTAAATTGAGATGCAATCGGCAAGAATGACGGATGTTGACAGAACAGTGCCATCCCGCCCATCTCTTAGTCTGCGGGGACTAGTCTGTAGGGTCAGGACTCAGGTGGCAATAACATAAAATAACAGACGTAAGAAATAAAAAAAAATGAAGAAATGAAAAGTCGCGTGTCACAATCATCATCATCATCATCATTATTATTATTATTATTATTATTATTATTATTATTATTATATTTCATCTCTTTGCACTTTCACACCAGATGTCTGCTAATTGTCGCAGAGGATTGAGTGATAGCAAGTTTCATAAAATCTCCAGCACCTTCCTTAGTGTCTTCCAAGCATTACCTTGGTTTGGAGGGCCTCAACTCTTTCTTCAATCTCAAATTCATCCAATATCTATTTTAGTGGGTTTTTTTTCGATTTCCAAGTGCTCTAGTTATTATAAGAATGGTCCTAACTTTCAAGTATAATAATGTACACAATTCCCGAACGAGATCCTGGCCCTTTACCAATTTTTAGTTTAATTATTTATTTAATTAACTTTTTCAAACAATTTTCACATTATTTAAAAGTGATAAAATCAATGTCTAACAGATTTCCTTTTCTTTGAATAAAACTATCAGATAGAAATTGTTTTTTTTTATTTATATTTTTTATTTGGTTGAAGTGTTCATAGAGGGCTGCAAAACACAGAATATTTTGTTATTATCTAAGGCAACTTCTGAATACTATTTGTACACATAGTCGAAATCAAGTTCTTTGCGCAATTCTTAGCATATCAATGTTCCTACCCAAACATACCTATTTTTTTTATATTCTACTAAATCAGTTTATGACTTCATTCAGTTTGGTCATTTTTTGTTTGTTTTTGTTTTTCTTCCACATTTAACATTTGCTGATTTTCAAGGCTTTGGCTATCCTTGTTTTTATATAATGTATTCTGATGAACAGTTGCATTGATGAGTTATTTCATTTCTTTATTTATACGTACTTTTTATAATCACTTCCATGATTTTTCATCGATAAAATTATTTATCTGTTTTCGAAATTCTTCGTTTACTTGCCCAATTGTTCTGGTTGGGTGCAAAAGACAGGACATCGTGGAGAGCCATGATCGCTTATGTCCTGAAGGGACACAGCACATATGGTCAATCAAGATAGAGGCTTTGTCACTCACAAGAAACATGTTTTATTGGTTGTTTTTTTTTTAATTGATGCTTCCATTAATGTGAATCTTATCAAAACCATCACGACAACCGTTAGTTATCGTTCTTAATTAAATCTGTCGCATATTCCAGGTCGAGGCAAAGTTTCATAAATATCTTCTCTTTTTGTGGTGGATGCGTCCTATTTCCCATCAGTGCCCGCGTTCCGAGTTGGGACCGAGGTAGAAAACGTGTTTTGTATGGTGTTTCTCAACTTATGCTGACCTTTCTCACATATCAGACTGGCACAGTACAATCTTTCTTTAAACCATTCCTTTTAAGTACCCTTTCCAAAGAACAAACCTGTGGAACCTTCTATGAATGTTGCAAGCATTATCTCTTCATGTCAAAGATCTTTATCTATCCCCCTTTATCTACAGAATCTTTACTTTCTACGATTTCCACTTTCAATCTTATTACACACTTCATTCATCATAGACATTTTAACGGCAACCCTCTCATTTGGGTGGCTTTTAAGTTTTTCATTGAATGCACTTTAGTATAAGAAAAATGGCCAAGGAAGAAAGACAACAAAAGATTTACTTGGTAAGATCGAGCAAATACAGGAAGGAACACATATCACCAAAATGAAGCGGGGTCATGAAAAAACAAGTATTATGAAGAAAAACGAAAAGGACGCTATAGTGAACATTGATCGCCCACCTATTGAAGAAACAATGCAAAAATATACAAGGGACGCTACAAATGTAACTACCATATAAATAAACATTCTGCATTTATTGACCGAGCAACCAGTACTACTTCGGTTGAAATCCTAAAATTGTTCCCATAAAATAATTTTTTTCAGGAAATAAGTTCCTCTAGTCCAGTAACTGCTACTGCTCTTTCCATTATTGATGCCAGTTTCCTTCCTATCCTTTTCTTTGAAGTAGTGTGGAACGTCAACATCTTGATTATCTCAATCGAGTTACGTGTGCTACCAGTTTTACTTATTGCTAATGTTGAATATCCTCATCTGATGTAGTTTCTGTTTTCTACAGTTCTTTGTTATTCTGCAGTGCCACTAGACGAGGTTCGACGAGAGATGGTCCTTGCTAAGACCCACAGACTTCATCCACTTGGAACCATTTTTAATCATTACTTGAAGAATGCAGTTGTATACAGCTGACACTACAGATATTTCTTTGATTCTTTGATTCTATACATGACTGAGCAGCCAGTTCTATTGTCAGTTGAAAAATAATAAAATCTTTCTATTAAAACAATTTTTGAAGAATAAAGCTTTCTCAAGTCTAGTAACTCTTATCACTCTTTCCAGTATTGATGGATTTTCCTTGCTTGGCCTTTGTTTGAGCAAGTGTGGAATGTCATCGTCTTGATTATGTTATTATTTCCTTGTTACATATGCTATTCATTTTAGTTGTTGCTGCTGTTGAAAGTCCTCAAGTGATGTGGTTTGTTATTTGGTAACATTTTTTTTGTGATTCTGAAGTGTCAGTTCACAAGGTTTGAAGAAGGATAGTCCTCACTAAGACCTACAGGATTCATTCACTTGAAACCATTTTTAATCATTGATCTGAGAAAAATGTTTGTATGCAGTTGATATAGTGTAGATATTTCTTTGATTCTATACATGACCTCTCTTTGATATTTCATTGATTTACTTTGATTCTGTACATGACCTCTATATGGAAGCCTTACTTTGATGAGGCTATTTAAGAACATGTTTCAAGATTTTAGGTTAATGTTTTTGTTTTGCCGCAGTTTGTGGTGTTGGGTAAAACTACCCATACTCTACAATGCTTTGTGATTCTACAGTGCCATTCGACGAATGATGGCCCTTGCTAAGACCTACAGGCTTAATTCGCTTGAAAACATTTTTAACCATTACTTTGAGAAAGCGGTTGTATACAGCTGACAGTTTAAATATTTCTGAACGTGTTTGGCGCAAAACAACATTTCAATTACAAAACACTATTATTTATCACATAGTCTCCATTACTTCTTAGATATTTTCAAGGTGTACAACTGCCTAATTCTTCTCACAAACTTTTTTTATTCTGCCAACGTTCAGCATGTTTCGATGATTCCACAGGTTCGCAAAAATATTTTACACTGAAGTAAACGTGTGAATAGGTGATTGTTAAAAAATAATTTTATATGGGGAATCCGAATTTCCAAACTTCTTTTCTCTATCATTCTATTTTTTTCTTTCATGTATCCTGCTTTTACTACAATGCATATATTCATAATACAATATGTTTGACTTAATTTTTTTTTACAATGCTGTTAACGCTCTACAAGGCTCGGGAGCCACTCGCGGTAGAGGGTTAAAGAGTAAGAGGCACATTTTATGCGGATATGTGTGGAAGATAACGGCTAATCCTAGACTTGAAAAGGCCAAGATTGCAGTACTCAGAGAAACACCCTCTTGAAAGTCGGTTCCACAGAGCAGTGGTTTACGGGAAGAAGCTGCTGAAGTGGAACTTACATCTCACAAATGCGATACAAAGGGAATGAGGGTAGTTCGCTTGAACATGTGTGGCATGGAGTGTCATAGCTCTGAAGGTTATAACTAAAGGAAATAAAGTATGTAGTTCGTCTGAGCACTTTCCATGGAAGTAATGATAGAGCAGAGAAAGGCTTGCGACGTTTCGTCTGTGGGACAGGGGTTGTATGGTGGAAAATAATTCATCCCCCACAGGGACACGGAGACGCTTTTGGACTCTCTCGAGAGTGGAAAGTGAAGACTGGGGAG